TATTGTTTCAAATTTCAATAAAAGTTTATACATTTTAGCAATTACATGTTCATCATTTGTACACAATTCTCTCAGCCTTACAATGTTCAAAAGCATAAATTCTTTTGTCTACTTTAAATCTAATAATTGTAAATAAGAGAACCATTAATAACTATATTCCTCTGCCACCAGTTCTTTTCTTTTCTTGATTTTATTTTACATTCCCCTTGACAAAATTCGACTATCTCACAATAAGTTAACCATTTGTCTATTATTTCTCGTCTATAAAATGCTTCTTGTGGATTTCAATCCACGGAGGTGTTTTCAGGCACAACCTGGGTTTGTATCTATTCCATATTCTCAGTATGGCACGTCTAACGTAATGATTTTTAAAATCCACATTAACCTTGATTTTATCATACCAAAAAAAGGTTCTGCTTTAAAAGGAGCTTTTCTATTGCAGAAAACCACTGAGGTAAATCCTTGAAGCAATAACACCAAATTCATTCATTCAGCGATTCCTTTTAATTTTTTCCATATTCCTTTACCTCCAAAGTAGTTTACACTTTAAAAAAATCAAGCATGAACTTCTCCACCCCAATTTATTCCAATACACGGTGCAGTCTGTGCATGGGGGTGTGCTGTATCCCTCCCCTAAATTAGGTCAAGTTATCCCAGATGGGGTGGAAAATTATATTTGCATCAATTCCAATAGATTGACGAGAATATAGTGATTGACACATTCACAACTCTTATTTTGTGCCAGGGCACAGCTTGGTAGATTTCAGGTTTCTGGTGAAAGCGATACATAATTCCTGTAAGGCAGTAGTCCATCCCTGGTGCCCTTCACCCTGCTAAGCAGACAGCAGAAGCTCCAGCTGATGAGTCCTTAGAATAGTGATCTGTGTCCTGAAGCCTCACTCACTGCTCTGTCCTTTCAAGACCAGCATGATAGAGCGTATTTCGAAGGGCCTAAAGGAAAGCTTCAATCCACACTCTTCCAGAATCAAGGAGGTGTTAGGATCAGGCCGTTCAAGGAGGTCACACCTGTAGAAGATGGTGATATTATTGAGAGATTGGCCTTTTGAAAAAAGGTCACTGTTGAGACAGTCATTCTCTTTGCACTTACACAACTGCCTCTTGGACCGGGAAGCGCATTTGGAGCCAGGTATCAACAGTGCTGCCGTGTGACTCGTAAAGTCTGAGGATCAAGGCATCGGGCCTGTCCTCTGCCTGGGGAAAGAGACAAAGAAAGTTCCCCTGGTCAGCTCAACGCTGTTCTTTAGTTCTGTATGGCTACTCCTGTTCTGCTCTTGTAAGATGCTGCTAGGATCAAAGAAAGGCACGCATGATGGGTTGAAGCTCAGAGGACCTTGATTTAGCACAAAAGATTGCCCCAAATATTCACTGAAAGCAGGAGAAGAGAGAGAGAACTGGCAGCTGTAGCTAATCTGCATTGTCTCAGACAAGCTGGCTTCCAAGATTGTCTCAGACAAGCTGGCTTCCAAGACTGATGTCAGCCTTGTGAGGTAGTCCAGTCAGGAAGCACACCCAGATGAACTGAATATACTTTAATGTAAGGTTACATTCACAGAATCTTGCAAGACTGAAAGTACACTTCTCTCCCATCGCCTTTGCAGTCCAAGAAACTAGGGAGGGTCCCTTCTGAGATGTTTGCCACGTCCACATTCCTTCTGCGGGTTCAGCTACCACTTGTCTGACCGTTGCCCAGTCTATCGCTCTTACCATTGTCTCCCAAGGCCCTTCCCACGTACCACAGCATAAATTCAGAGATTGGGTCTGTGCATTGCATGGAGCATGGTTTGTTGGACAAGCCCCAATGGCCTGCTTCAGACATCTCCCTAAGGCACAAACCATCTTAATAAACTACAGTGACCGAGTTCATGCAACACGTGAAGCCGACACCAGACAACCCCTACCTTGGTCTAGTGTGAAGTCTCCACTGTAGACCCAGTCTCAGGTCATCCATCTTTCTTCAGCCCCTTACCTGCTTTACTGTTTCCAGAACAACAGCTGGGGACAGCACAGAAAATGCACTCCAGATTGGACATGGCCCAGGAGCACCCTCCACTATATGAAGAGGAAAATTCAAGCTGTATGCCTGCTGGATCACCCCAGCTTCTTGGAAAGAACCTGTTGAAAAGAAAGCTGCGCAATCAGAGGTGTTACTTAAATTAAGCCACCACCAGTTTGGAGATATTGTTCCCCCTCCAATTTTCCTAGTGTCTTCCCACTGCTTCTGCCAATCTTCCCACCGGCTCAGCAATTCCCAGCTGCTGTATGTTTGGCAGTATCTGTGCAAATGATATGGTTTATGAAAAACAAAGTTAACAACCAATCTGCAGAAACTAGCTAAATATCAATCCTGTGTATGTGGCTGCAAAAAAACAGGGAGAAGGGGGAAGGAGAAGAGGAGGGGGGGGGGAAGAGGAAGAGGAAGAGGAAGAGGAAGAGGAAGAGGAAGAGGAAGAGGAAGAAGACAAGTTGGCAATGCAGAAACCAATTCTTGTCAATCCATTTCGGTGAAAATTGGGGATTTTCTCCCCCACCCCCCAAGTGCTTGGAGGGAGGCTGCTGATTCATTTGCCAAGGCTCTGCGCAGTCTGCCAAGATCAGATTCTCAGATGTTGCTTACCCAGGTGAGGCATCACTGCGTAGGTAAACTGGTGGCGCCCAATATCTGCAGTAGCATCAGGGGACTTTGGCGCACGTAACCTTCATGGGAATCAAAACTCATATTAAACAGTCATTTACCATGCTTTTGTTCTTAACAATCCAAGCAGCCGACATTGATATGAATTTTATTCTCCCCTGCTAATGCATGAAACGTAACTTGAGGTTGCTAAGACCCAATAACTACAGAAGATAAAACAGGCAACAGAAGAAATCGAAGACAAAAGTAAAAAATATAAAATATCTAGTAGGCAAAGGTAGAGTCATTCCCAAAATCATTTCTGGCATAACCCAATAACTCCTACCATCCACCAGAACTCACAGGGAAAGGCTCATCACGTTGCCACGGACCGAGCAGCCATATTTGCAGTTGTTCAACAGCGCGATCCCAAAGCCGTGCTCGGACAAATCTATCCATTTGTGGCTCCACACCTAAAAAGGAAAAAGAAAATCCCAAGCTTCTTTCAAGGCAACTGTGATCTAGAGGGGCTATCAGGATGGATTTGCAGGATCCATTCATTTTAATTAAAACTGGTGTGGAGGTCAGCAAGGCATGCCCAAGCCCACTTCAGGCTTAAGTTGCGTGGGAAGTCTGTGATACAGAGATGTGTGCAGGGTATGGTCAAAAAAACCAAGATGGCGGCCCCAATGGAGCAATCAAAGAGTTGCACATAAAAAAACAGGCAGAACTTTGATCGCTCCATTATGGTGCCATCTTGACTTTTTTTTTTCATACCCTGTGAATACTTCTGTGATGAGAAGAGCCTCACCTCAAACCGGGCCCAATCCCAGGACGTGTTCCAATGCGTCGGTCTCTGCAGGTGGCCAAACTGGATCTCGTAAGTGGCATTTGGGCTCCGAACCTTGGCTGGAAATTCCACCTTGAGAAACTTGTGAGCTTCGTTCCAATCAACCTGCCAAAGAGGAAGATGTAAAATGTGTTATAACAAGAAGGGGAGAAGGAAGCAAACTTGGGAATTTTTGGACGATAACAGCAATCCTAATGAAGACATACAGTGGTACCTCGGGTTACGATCTTAATCTGTTCCGTGACTCTGGTCGCAACCCGATTTGGTC